AAAATTCTCAAAATCTCAAAGTAAGCGCGTTTTCCATTTTTATGTTTTCGTAAACTGTTTTTCACAATGGCAAAAAGAACGCATTTTCAAAAATTTCAAAACAGACACTCAAAACACAAAACACAAAAGTGAAACACGAAGAGAACGGCCCCTAAGATTCTACTTCAAACTCTCACCTTATATCTAGCAAGATTTATCGTCTGTTCATTCAGTTAAGTTGTCAGTATAAAAAGATATGTACTTGCTTGATAGAGAATATATAAGCCATAAAATGATTGCGAAAGAAAAGTGATTCACAAATAATCAAAATCAAACAAGGCCTGTGAATAATGTATCTACTGGACAAGCGAGAGATTTTCTTCGAACTTGTAACATTTTATTACTTCTAAATATTTGATGTTGGTTGCTCCGAAATACGAGAAGACATTTGGTGCTTCTGTAATAATCAAATATCTTATAAGGATCTTGTAAGAATTCATAGATTAAGAGGAACATTGGAGCGTGATTCGAATTGGCCTCTACGAAAGGGTAAACAACACAAACAAAATCATTATTTAATTTAGATAAGAATTAGATTTTTAGTAAATTTTGATTAAAATTGATAAAATATGGTTAAAAAACTACGAATTCACATATAAATTTATTTTATTAAAAAATGTGTGGACAAAAATAAATTTTAGGAAAAATAAATTTTAGAAGATGAGGATATAATAGAGGGGCTAAGATTGGAGTGCATTTGGATGATAAACAGTTACACGTTTCCCATTGAACTTTGCTACATGTAACACTAATGAAAATAATATGAGTGATTGATAGATAATTTTGTTTAAATTTGGGAAAGCAACGAGTAATCTTTTAAATTTCGATGAGCAAGTAGTAATCTATGACAAAATTTAGTGAATAAAGATTAAATTTTTAAATTTCGATGAGCAAATAGTAACCTGTAGCAAAGTTGCGTGATCATTGATTATATTAACTCATTAATACACTGTTTTGTAATTTAGTCCTTGTTTGATTCCTATTTTTTTTAAATCTATTTTTCTTTTTTTTTTTAATCATACATTTTTCAATAAAATAATATTATACGCAACCCAATTTTTTTTACACATTCTCCATCAATCTATTATTTTAAAATGCATTTTATACTAAAAAAATGGGGTCGAAAAGAGGCAAATTCAAATAATGAGTAACTTATTACAAATTTCCTCAGTTTTATCGCCAAATAAAATCCAATCCAATCCCCACCATCCATTCAAATCACGACAACCTAGGCCCCAAATTCCTCACTATATAAACCCCATTCGAAATAATCTCCCGGTTCTTCTAACCTCTCTCAATTTCTTCCTCACTCACATTCTATTAATTTCACGTAGCATAACGTTGTCTTAATTCTGGTGTAAATAAATTTTAATTTACTTAAGTGAGGCAATGTTAAATTCAGCGGCCCCGGCCTCGTGTGTAGGGTGGGAGGAGGTGGTGGTTTCGGGCGAGAACGGGCGGCGGGAGGTCCATTATTATTTAAAGCGAAACGACTGCGGCGGGCCGGATCTTGTGGTCGTAGGGAAGGAGAAGAGCCCAAAGAGAATGTATTATTATGGAATTAGAGATAAGGAGTATTTGCTTTCGTCCTTGAAGTATTCTTCTCTCTTGAAGCTTAGGTCCAGAGGAGAGGTCATTGATTGGCTCAATTCAATCGTTCCAGGTGATTTCCGTAATCTTTACATATAATTTGTCTTTTTGGTTTTAATTAAATAATTAGATCTGTTTTGTGAAACTAATTGTTGTTGGAAAGTGTAATCTTTTGGAATAGTCTTTCTTTTTTCTTTGAATTTCGATTTTGGAAGGTTTTAAAATGAAATACGATTTTATAATTTTTTCTGTGGAATTAAAAAACCGATGTTCTGCTTATATCAGTTCTCTGTTTCTATATAAATTCTTTGAATTAAGATTTTCTTTAGTTTGAGAGTTTTCTGCTCCTGCAGGCCTTTTATTCATGGAAAGAATTATTTTTTTCGATCTGAATTCTCTTTCAAAATAATTATTATTTGGCGAGGTTTTTTTTTTTTTTTTGGTTCTCTGGTTATTTTTATCTTTTTGGAGGGTGAGCTTTTGCGGCTTTTTATGTACTGTGTAAATATCTTAAAGGTGCTAAAGGTGTATACTAAGCATGTGATTGATGGCAATTTTCTAGAATTCTTTTCCGATGAAAGAGGAAATACAGGTTCTAGGAATGATTTTTGAACTATATTTGGAGAATTCCATATGGGTATGCAATGGAGGAGGAGGTGAAAAATAATCATAAAATCCTTCTTTTATGAATGAATAGCATCCCATTGTATAAATCCAGGGCAACCGAATATGTTTCCTTTAAAAATACAGTAAAAAGGGCAAAGAAGCTCTTTAATGCAACTAGATCTTTTACCACATAATCTAAAAATCCACCTCCAGAAAATTGATAGAATTGCTCAAGGTGAAAAATAATAAATAAAAGAAGAAGAAGAAGAATTTTTCAGTATAGATATAGTTGTTTTTTTCCTCTTCAATCCAAATTTAAAGTTATATGCAAAGTTGCATTTTTTATATTTTCTGCATTTCAGCGCTTTTCTTTTGATCAAGAAACGATTGTCCTTTTTTGGGTCCTGTTTAATTCCTCTTCTTTTTTTTTTTTTCCATGTTTTCATCATTGCATTGTCTTTCAATGGTTGAGTGTAATTGTCTCAAACATTTTTGGTATCCACGTTATAAAAAAATTGACAATGGATTGTGAGAATGTTAAGTCAATTGTAAGAGCTGGTTGAGTGATTTGGAATTCGTTTACCCCATGACATACAATGTTCTTCCATCGTTTTTGTTTGACTGTTTTTCTATTATTTGTGGCGTTTATGACGACCATTGTGGTGGACAAAATTGGACTGTTGTTTTATGACTTTTTTCTTGTAAAGATCTTGGTTATCTGTGCTACAGTTCTTTTTGATTATTTATTCTATCAACTTCTGTCTTTCTATTTACCTTGATTTGTCTGCTTCTTTACTAATGCTATTCCTAGTAACTTTCACTATCATGCTTCAAAGGAGAATCCTATTGTACTATGATACTAATTGTTCCATTATGATTCCACTCTCAGATGTAAGTCAGCATAGTTTTTTTGAACAATTTGGTGGTTATATGGGAAAAAAAGGTGCCCACAAGTTGGATGCTGATATTATTAAGGTTATTTAATATTCGTTATTAGTTTGCTTAATTCTTTCTGCCCTAAGGTACTATGGAATGGATATGTGACCTATGTCTCTTTTAATTATTTTTTTGCAGGATGTTCAAATGCAGATGCCAGGTCTGCATACAATGGAATTTATGTGGTTGGGGTCATCATGGACTGGTCGGAAAAGACGGAAACACTATTTATCATTTTGTCGCAACAGTGTTAAAATATCTGTAAGTCTTTCCTTTTGTGACGGTTCTCTTAATCAAATAGTGGTGAAATAGAAGTTGATTGGCTTATTAATCACGTGTTCATTTTCTTTCTTTTGCTAAAACTAACAGGTTCATGACTTTGTTTATGTATTGGCTGAAGATGATAAACGGCTCGTGGCTTACATAGATGATATGTATGAAGATTCCCGAGGCGACAAGATGGTTGTGGTACGATGGTTTCACAAAATTGATGAGGTTGGTTTTGATTTGTCTCATAACAATAGTGACAGGGAGGTTTTCTTTTCTCTTTGTCTTCAAAATCTCAGTATCGAATGCATTGATGGACTTGCAACTGTCCTTAGTCCAGAGCATTATGAGAATGTTTTGAAGGAGGCAACAACATTGCTGTCTGTGCCATTCATTTGCTATAGACTGTTTGATAACCATGATATCAAGCCGTTTGACATAACACGAGTCAAAGGTTACTGGAAACAGGAAATACTTAGAAATATGTCATCTTCTTCACTGCTTGGAACATCCTATGATAATATTAAGGTAGAAGGAACTCTTAGTGATGCAGTTGGAAGTAGACCCAAGAAGAGACTTCGACGGTCCAAAGAGTGTGAGATATACATGCAACCTGTCAGAAAGAGAGAGGTTGTTGATGCTAGACCTGAAGATGGCAGTGATGGTTTCATCAGTTCTGAAGGCTGCAAGAAAATGGTCAGTCTGAATGAAGGCTGTCCTTTTGTATCCTTATCATGGCAAGATCCAGCGAAGTTAATGCGTACACAATATTTGACTATTGGTTCTCAAGTTGAAGTGCTTTCTCAAGATAGTGGCATCAGAGGTTGCTGGTTCAGAGCTTTGATCATCAGAAGGCACAAAGATAAGGTCAAAGTGCAATATCGAGATATCAAGGATGCAACTAATGATGCAAAAAATCTGGAGGTGAATATGTTGTTATGTTATGTGTTTCCTTTATGAGTATGCTTTTCATGTTGAAGTGATTTCTTACGATATTTAGTGTTTCACTTTTTAGGAGTGGACTTTGGCATCTTGATTAGTTGTGCCGGAAGAGTTAGGTATTTGGATTCGAGGAAGGACAGTTGTTAGACCTGTGCCATTGTCTGACAGGGGCAGAGTTTCTTTATTAGTAAATATGGGAAGCATTGTTGATGCTTGGTGGCATGATGGATGGTGGGAAGGCATTGTGGTGAAGAAAAAATTGGAGGATGAGCTACATGTTTATTTCCCAGGTGTGAATCGTTGGAGAGGCTTATCTCGAAATAATTTCACTCTTATCCTGCCGAAGTTTCAATTTCTTTTTCCTCCATGCTCTCTTCCTTTTTTGTAATGTATTTTTTCTCTCCAACTGTTTTAAATGGATTCTCATTGTTATCCTTAACTAATTTGTAGGGGAAAAACGAGAGATGATCTTCAGTCGAGATGACTTAAGGCATTCACAAGAATGGATTGAAAATGATTGGAAAGATATCAAGGCCAAGCCAAAGGTCCTCCCATTATTATCTGGGCTCAGAAGAAAGCAACGTGTTGAAATAGCCTCTGATATTAATCCTAATGCCGCTCCATACATCAATAGAGATCTTGTTGATACAATTCATAGAGAAGCATTGACTATAAATAACCTAGTCGGATGTGATGTCTCTATGTTTTGCAGTGATGATGAGAAGAAGCCAAATAAGGTGGCAAGGGACCTCTCAAACAATGGTTTGCTTACTCAGTTAAGGTGGATGTCTTATGGAAAGAGAAGACGCGGTAGGAAGCCCCTTCACAAAGCCTATTATGGTGTTAATAGAAGTGGTAAGTACTCGGCAATGGGGACTTTAAAGAAATTCTTTGCCCCATCATCCTTGAAAGTAGATCCAGAAAATTGTAAATATGCCAAAGATGTTCTTTTTAGTTCGTCTGTTGCATCTCCAGTGACAAGCTTGGTTATGTCTAGGTGATTTTCTTTTCAACGCGGTAGTTTAACTTCATACCTATCCCTCTTTTGGCTCTAACAAAGCCATTTTTTTGTGTGTCTAGCAGTGTGTTAGTTTATGCAGTTTTAGGACTTTTGTTTGGAAGTGAGGCGGCAAATAATTCGCCCT